CACAAACATGTGTGTATTATTATTATTATTATTATTAAAAGAAATATATGGGTACAACATAAAATAAAAACAAGATAGTTAATAAACTAGTTTTTTCTTTCTTGTACATCTTAAAAGATGTAAGTTTAATTATATTTAAATACATAGAGTTTATTTATAAAATATAGATAGCATATACAAAAGTCCTATATAAACAAAACTATACAATTTCTAAAATTAAATCACTCTAGCAATGGTGGTTGATATGGACCTGAAAACATAATAATAGAGACAATAAATAAGCATAAGATTATAACATACACATACAACTTTATTATTTTTCATTTCATTTTATCTCTTTTTCTCTATTTTCTTTAAAATATTATCATCACTAACAATTTATCATTGTATAAAAAATCTCCAACCCTATAGCTGACTCAAGTTAGCATTTTAAGTTTTCACTAATAAGGCTTACCTTTTTTTATGTTATTTGCTTAGCATCTTTTTTTAATGTTATTGTTTTTACTAAAGATGTCATTTCAAGGATATCATTTTTTTCTACCTTAAGAACAAGTTCTCATTATATCATTTTCTCTTGTTTCGAGATATAATTTCTTACAATATCACTATCATGTCCTAAAAGCGTGGTTTCAAATAATATCAATTTTAAGCCCTGAAGGCATAATTTCATTGAATTCAATTTCCCACTTTAAAAGTATAATTTGAATGGATTCAATTTCCCACCACGAAAACATGGTTTTTTAGGATGTCAATTGTACATAATACATATAAATTGCAAAGAGCAACCCTTACTTGGAGCTCCTATAGTATATGCTCATGACAAATTAGGTCTCATGCTGGAAGTTACTCCAACACTCACAGCAATAACAAATTAACATTTCTATTTAGTTAAACACACATATTTATTAAGAAATCAATTTAACTCATGTGCTAAAATACACAACTTTCAAACATACCTTTACAAACTTAGTCCATTTTAGATATTTCAACCATATATAAAATCAATAAATAATTATTTATGTTTATAATTATCATAGCAGTCCGTATTTATTACTTTTAGGTTGTCATAACAACCCATATTTTTATGTATTAAAGCTATCATAGCAACTCTTATTTTTTGAGTGTCAGGGCTATCATAATAACTCTAAATCCTTTTTATTTGAGTTTTCATAACAACCCAAACTTCCATGAACTTGGATTGTCATAACAACCTATTATTCTATACATTAGGGTTATTGCAATAACCCTTATTTTTCATGCGTTAAGGCTACCATAACAACCTTAAATTTCCATGATAACCCAAATTTCTGAAATTTTAAGTTGTCATGACTGCTCATTCTTCCACATATTAGGATTGCCATAAAAACTTTTATTTCTTACATGTTTAGGCTATCATAATAACCTTTAATTACAACTTTGTCTAAAATAATATAATTCATATATTTTTATGTTATGATGCAACCCTTAATTTTTTTTTTAATATTTGTGTTGTTGTAACACACCATACATGTGATTGTCAAGACAATTTGTACACATTTAATGATTTACATAACATACAAAATCATGTTTTTTTTCTTCAAATCTTTGTCAACATATTTAACCTAACAATATGCACACATATTTCATCAAACACAACACAATCTGATCCTTGAGGATTGAAATCAAGCTTAAACATATAATTAATCATAATCATGACTCAAATTCATGACAACCCAATTTAAAATATTTCCAACCAAATTTAATGCATTCCTCACATTAGTGAAACTCCTTAAATTAACATAATTTAATCAATTTTTCAAATCCTTTAAATTTCTCATTTATGGTCAATCATTAACAAACTAATTTTTCCATAATTAGTTTTAAATTCCTCTAGTTTAACCATTAATCATGTCATCAACATCACAATTAACAAGCAATTAACACAATTTAGCATTTCCTAAAAAATCCTCATAAACCCTAAATTTAGGGATTTGCAATCTCCTAAACAAAAACAAGAGAAAAATGGATTTAATTGAACAAAACACCTTACAAATTCTAATTAATCCAATTTCTTAAGCCTTTTTACAATCCTTTTCAAGTCTCATTTTCTCTCTTTTAATTTTTACAAGCTTTTTTCTATCAAATCTCTAATTTATGACCCCTTTCTTTCTAGATTTTTCTTTTTTAATTTGGTTAAATTAATTTTTAAGGACTCATTTAATCCTCACTTTTCAAACCTTAAATTAAGAGGAAATGAAGGATTGAAAGAGAACAAACAATAAATTTCCAAGCTCCTCACTCTCCATGTAAACCATTGGCCTATTAAAGGAGAAGGAAAGATTTTTTCCTTTTTAATTTACCAAAATGCCTCTTGTTTAATTAGCCTGCATGAAATTCATATCAAGTATTTGATTGTTGATATTTTTTACATACTAATTTGTTTTTTTATTCCATCTAAAGTCTTACACTAATATATTAGGGATCTTCACCATGATTCATAATCTTAATCTGTATTTGTTTCTTATATTCATGATTTAGTCTTTAATTAATGTTAATAACTCTTTTTAATATTTATGAAAACATATAATCTTCAATATGTTTTATTAAATAAATGAATCAAAATTTGTTTTTATAATTATTTTTTGTTAGAAAAAACATTAACAACGCTTAGACCTTTTTTTTACACTCAACAAATTTTGGTTGGACTCATTTTATACACTATTTTCATGAGTAGGATTATTGCCATAATATTTGTTGGTAAAAAAAAAAAATCATTTTAACAAAAAAATTTAAAAAGAAAAAAAAAGTATTAAAAGAACCAGTTAAAACAAAATAGATTTACAGCGGCGAAACAAATTTACTCCATATAAAGTCACAATGAATATCCCTATATATTCATAATTTTCTTAATAATCCTCCATCAATTATTTTTTAAAACATGTTTTTTCTATTTATCCTATGTTACTTAAACAAGTCATTAACAAATAACGATTAGCTTAATAGATGAAAATAGACATCAGAAGGTCTTACTTTTTAGACCAACTCAGTAATTAATATCAAAATTTAGATTAAATTACTTTTATTTAAACACACAAGGATAAGCATGAAGACCATGTTAATAAATTAATTCATATAGCACCGCATTAAAAAATTATAGAAGCAAAGGTAATCACTATAACAAAAGCTAAATGGTGTGGGAAAATCATTATAGATCAAGAGACCTTTTACTATGGATTGTAATAGTAGTTTCACTTTTCATTTCTTATCTGTTCATGAAGCGTTTCTTTAGCTTTCCTTTTCTTTCCTAGTGAGTGAGTGGCGTCTACGCCATTAAAGAAGCGTTGTGATGCTTTCTGATGGCCAAATCTAGTTATTCATCATCTCAATGGATACGCAATTGTGTCCTTTTTTTTCACATGGTGTGGCGTGTGTGGATAGATAATGGTTATATTGTCGTCAGTGATCAATTATTTGTGTTTTTTCTTTCTTTACTCTCTCTTAACAATTAAAATGCACAATTATCCTCTTTATTTGTTATTTATCAAATTAGACGTGCTTGTCATACCTAAGCATCCTGAGCCTGGTATGGTTGCCGGACCCACGCCCCTTGGGTATGGCATGGTTTGCCAGACCTAAGTCACCTAGGTTTAAACCTAAAAGTCTGGGACTAGCAACCGTGCCAAACTTGTGTTTGGGTCAAAAATTTAAAATTTTTCAATAAAATGATTAGACTGCAAAAATAAGCACTGACTCATTTAAACAAGATTTTTTATTCATATATAGTAGAACTTAATTGCAATTTTTTTTATTTGTATAACTTATTCTATAAATTTGTTATATTAAAAGAGGAAAAAATAAAAAAACTGTTTAATTCTAAGTGATTTATTTCAAGCCTTCAAAAATAAACTTTTTTTTGGTATCCATTATGGATGAAAATATTAATTTTATGTTTCCATCCAAGTATTGGATAAATTTTTAAAGGGTTCATGCTTTTTTTTTTAAAATTTGAGTTGTTGTTGTATGATTTAATTGTTAAAGTTTGTAACAAGAAGACTTTATTCTATATTATAACTATTAGTATATATAAAAATTCAAAATATATGATCATAAAAGAAAAATTTTGAACTTTTAAATTGATACATTATGTTATGGGAAAAAAATATTGTTTATGTAAAAGATTGAAGGCCTATGATAAGGCTAGTATTGCATTTTCGTATAAAGTTCAATTATTATTTTTTTGTTGAAAATATTAAAGCTTTGGTTACAAGAGTATTTCAGTACTTTTCATATGTACATTTATCATTAAACATTTCAGCAGGGTATAATAGTTTTTTTATGATTATTTAAATAGTAAAAATATTATTCTACCTCTAAAGTTAACAAAATTAAGACATGAAGCCTAGAGATTTTCTGAGTTTTTATAAATTATTAAATAGTTAAAATATATTTTTAGTATTGAAAAAGATAAAAAAATAAACTTTGCATATGATAGTGTTTTTGTTCTTTTACACTGTTTTTATGTAATTTTTTATAATTATGGGGGACAATTTAGTATTTTGATATTGTGTTATTATTTTTAAATTTAAAAAGTTATACTTAATTAACGTTTACTTGGGTTTGAAAAATAAACAAGATCTATATTATTTGATTGTCAGACCTAATTCACTTAGGTATAGTATAATTATCGAATATTTTTAATATTTTTTTTATAGTTTTTTTGAAAATATTGACGTTAGCTAATTAAGAGATGTTTGTTGATTTTATATTGAAATTTTCAAAAAAAGTTAATTTTTTAAATTAATTTTTTTAAATATTATTAAATTATTTTAATATGTTAATATTAAAAATAAATTTTAAAATATAAATAAATATTATTTTAATATATTTTTAAATAAAAAATCTTTTTAAAATAATTACTATTGCTGCATCGGTAGTATCCTGTTCCCCAGCACCTTAAGGAAAGGAAAATAACAGGACAAAACTGTCTTGTTATATGACACCGTACTACACTAAAAACATCATGTCGTTCTCTGCTTAAGCATCCTTCTCCTCGTCTCACCTCTGGCCCTCTCTGATCGATCTTTTTCTGCGTACTCTGAAGTCCGAAGAAATAAACCGCTACATGTTCTTAACAAACAATACAGTGAGGTAATCCATACAGTTCCATTAACAATTCCATTATTTTGTTTTGTTTTTTTCAGAAATTGGCCTAAATTGCTTGGATTTTTTATTTTCTTTTTATGTAGACTTCAATGCAGTATTAATTTGTTAAGAAATGTTTCCCTTTTCTTGAATTATTTTAGTAAATGTAGGAGGGCTTTGAACCCTTAAAGGAGTGGGGCATGTTAGAATTTTGTCCATGGCTGATGGAGAGAATTAGCTTTACGTTTTGTTTTTATGTGTAGTGACATGATAAAGGGAAAGCATTAGTCATTCTGTATATTTTGTTTTAGGGTCAGCCTTAGTCTGCTTGATTGTCTTCTTACAGACTTTATAAACTGCTCTTTTACTTTTTCAATAGAGTTTGTTGTAATTTTAGGTTAGAAAGAGAGGAAAAATGGTGAGGGCTGAAACTGAATCAAGCTTATGGAGCAAAAGGGAGAACCAAATTGCTGTTTTAATTATGAAGAAGGGTGCAGCGCCAGCACGATCGTCTTATAATTTTGATGTGAGCAAAGTAACACAATTAGTTGATTGCCGGGCACTTTCGTGGATATGGGGGGAGAAAGTTAACAAGAGAAGCTGCAATGATTCTCTTTATTCCAGTTGTTGCATCAGTACTGATGATTACATCAGTCGACTACCTGATGATGTTCTGGTTACCATTCTGTCTCGACTGACATTCAGAGAAGCAGCCAGAATCAGTGTCGTCTCCAGAAGATGGAGATGCTTGTGGACATTTTATCCTGGTCTATTGGACTTCGATGCTTCAAGTACCGTGTTGGAAATAAAGAACAAGTCTTACGAGGAGAGGGAATTGATTCTTCCAATTGAACAGCGTAAATTTGTGAATTCAGTGAACCAAGCCTTGAAACAATATCAGGGTTTGAGTGTTGATGAACTCAAGATTTGTTTTGACGTGGATCAATATAAACGTGAAATTGATAGTTGGATCCACTTTGCAAAGGAAAAGGATGTTAAAAAGTTTAGGTTAGATCTGAGAAGTTGTACAAAATGGCCTTTCGGAGACTACAGTTTTCCCCTGCAGTCACGCAGCTCTTCCAGCTTTAATTCTCTAACGGCCCTGCATTTGATATCTGTGGAAGTGACTGGAAAAGTTATTGAGCACCTTTTATCTAATTCTCCATTCCTTGAAGGGTTACATGTGGAACGTTCATCATGCCTGGGTGATCTGAAAGTTTCTAGTTCATCTGTTAAGTTAAAATACTTGGTTTTAGCTTATAATCTTGTGGAAAATGTTGAGATATCTGCCAAAGATCTTGTTTCTTTTAAGTATCATGGAAGAAAGACAAACATGTCTCTAATGGATGTTCCTCGACTAACCGAGGTATCAGTTGGGGGACCTTACTGTGATCATCTATTAGAAGATATGTTATCAGATTTTTCAAGTTATCTTTCTCAACTGGAAGAGCTTTCATTGTGCCGAGGGTTTAAGACTTTTGATGATTACCTTAACTTTTTGGAACTTCAGATGAATTGGGGCATTCCGATCCAGAAATTCTCTGGACTAAACAATCTTAAGCAAATGCAGTTGATTTTAGATGTGTTTGATGAGGAGGGCCTTCTCTATTCCCGCTCTTTGATAGAAGCTTCTCCCTCATTACATAGATTATCGCTGCAGTTACGACCAAGACCTAAAGAAATGTTTGGGGAGATGACATGGAGGTCTACTGGGGGCCAAAAACATCAATCCCTGAAGGTGGTGGAAATTGTTGGGTTTACGGGTCTTACTTATGATCTTGAACTTGCCCTGGACTTAGTCAAGTATGCCGTGTCTCTTCAAAAATTGATAATTGATCCGCGACAGTTGTTTTGGTCGGAAGAGGAGTCGAGCTCCAATGAAGACACAAGGGAACTGGAGGCTGCCAGAAATCGTGCCCAAAAGATGCAAGCAAAATTACCTTCACGAGTTGAACTGGAAATACTTTAATCTTTCATGGTTTTTTTTTTAGTTATGTATTTATAAAGCTTGATAACAGCAAAAGCTGATAATTTGACATGCGCTATAATCTTGAGATGGTGGTAACTCGCAAGCAACTGTCTAGCTGGTGACGCAGGGTTTTTATATACATAGTTGGGTTCGAGATTTCATCCGTGGTATGTTCTCATATGCTCATCTGTTTTCTGTCATTTGATTTTCTAATCCCTATGGGGTTAATACCAGCAAGTTAAAATTTGAAATGCAACTATTTGAAAGCCTGTTTATTTTAGTCAAAATTTGTCATTGTTTTGGTTTGGGTGCTTGAGCAAGCCTCTAACTGGTGGTTCATTTTAGTATTGGCTAGCTTTTCCTTTTCTTTTCTTTTTAGAGTGAATTTCTTCGTTCGTCTTGTTAAGGATGTTCCTCGCATACATTCTGAAACATTCTATATATATTTTAGTTTGATTTTTTATGAGTTTCATCATTCAACATAATGTCGGATGAGTTTGTTGTGAATTTGCTTTATTTGGATTATTATGAGATTTTAAAGGTTGATTCGAATCAATTCAATATATTATTAATATAATTTTTTTAAAAAGATATTATCTTGTATTTATTTTAATTCAAACTATATTATATTTTTATTAATTATTTAAATTATTTTTAAACTTATTGATTATCTTGTATTTATTTTAATTTAAACTATATTATATTTTTATTAGTTATTTAAATTATTTTTAAATTTATTAATTATATAAGGTAACTCTCATTCGATTTAATTTTTTTTATTAAAAAAAGATTAGTTACACCTAAGGGTAACTTATAACGTGAAATAATGATTTGATAAATTAAAATGTTCTACACCTAAGGGTTTTTTTTTACTTGAAAAAGTAACTCATAACATGAAATAATGATTTGATAAATTAAAATGTTTAATTTTTAAAATTATGTTTAGATGCTTGTATTTAAAATTTGAATTGTAAAATTTCAAATTAAATTATTTTTAAATTTTAATTAGAATTATGTATTTTAGGTTAATATTTTTGAATATATATATATGAACAACACAACATGATAAAATGCTCCAAAACCTAAACATATCATTTAGTTAAAAAAAACAAAACGCTAACTAGAGCAGAATTCATGCTAGCTCAAATAAAAATTAATGGTTTAATATAATGAGTTTTCATTTATTAACACAGCTCAGTAATCAAAAGTAATCGAAGTAGTCAGTAATAATAATAAATTTTCGTCTATATATAGTTTCATCATAAATTTAAATATTATAGATTAAGGGGTAAATGTTAATCCTGTTTGGATAAAACATATACAAATCCAGAATTGTAATGTAAAAACAGATACCACTCCAAGCCCTCTCATGGAGCATGGGCTCACTCCAAACAGAGCCCATATAACAAAGCTTTCCCCGAGTATATTATGTGTTTTCTTGTATTTAGATATATTTTAAAAATATATTTATTTTAAGAATAAATTAAATTAATAATTTTTTTAATGTTTTTTAAATATTTCAGTATGAATTTAATTTCAAGAAAGAAATAAGTTTCTGATTCTATTAATTGAAGCCACATGGTTGAGATTAGAGTATTAAATAAAAATAAAAAGATAAAAATATACGAAATGAATGGTACAGGAAAGGTTTTGAACACCTTTAAAAACAACGATCCAGCTCTCCCCGTTTCCTCCAATCACACCCAAGAACTCAAAATCCGACGGTTCCAAATCTAAACCACACCCACACACGGATCGACACTTAATCCAATGGCTACCACGCCTCCTCCCTCTCTATAAAATAACCTCTCCAAGTCCAATCATAGACATCTGCAATCATAAAGCCAGTTTGAGATTTTTGAGAGAGAATCAAGGAGGGTTAAGCAAAGATGTCAGGAAGAGGAAAGGGAGGTAAGGGATTGGGAAAGGGAGGAGCTAAGAGGCACAGGAAGGTTCTCCGTGATAATATCCAGGGTATCACGAAGCCTGCGATTCGTCGTCTGGCTAGGCGTGGTGGAGTCAAGCGTATCAGCGGTCTTATCTACGAGGAGACCAGAGGCGTTCTCAAGATCTTCCTGGAGAATGTGATTCGTGATGCTGTCACGTACACTGAGCACGCTCGTCGCAAGACAGTGACTGCTATGGATGTTGTGTATGCTTTGAAGAGGCAAGGACGCACTCTCTATGGAT